TCTTCTCCAGGCTAAACAGACCCAGCTCTCTCAGCCCTTCCTCATAAGAGAGATGCTCCAGTCCCCTCATCATCTTTGTAGCACTCCACTGGACTCTCTCCACTAGTTTTCTTGAACTGGGGAGCCCAGAACTGGACACAGTACTCCAGCTGTGTCCTCACTAGGGCACAGTAGAGAAGGAGGATGACTTCCCTCAACTTGCTGGCTACACTCTTCTTAATGCACCCCAGGATACCGTTGGCCTTCTTGGTCATGAGGGCACACTGCAGGCTCACATTAACCTGCTGTCCACCAGGACTCCCAGGTCCTTCTCTGCAGAGCTGCTTTCCAGCAGGTCAACCCCAACATGTACTGGTATTTGCCAGAGCTGCTCCAAACTGAGTGTATCTGCATCAGCTTTACAGTGCTACTGTAAAAAGCCAACTTGTTTCAAATTATTGTTAAAACAAAATACAAGTTACTGAGCAGCTCAGCCTCTAATGAACAGTAACTAGTAAAATCTGCCCCCTACAAACGGCTCCCAGCTGCTGCCAGTGAGTCAACAGCTGACACTTGCAGTTGACCGCTGAGGCTGTTGATGTTCCTCACTTGTCTTCAGCCCCAAGCCCTCTGCCATCTCCTACCTCACCCTGGAGCCACCAGCGCTCTGGGCCGTGGCCCTGTGCCACGCGTCTCTGTCACACACAAAATGGAGCAGTGCTGATTTCTGACTAGAGTTCTGAGCTGGTACAAAACAAAATGTCTCTGGAGACGTTCAAAACCCGCCTGGACACCTTTCTATCTGATCTCATTTAGGTTCCTGCTCCGGCAGGGGGGTTGGACTAGATGATCTTTCGAGGTCCCTTCCAGTCCCTGACATTCTGTGATTCTGTGTGTGTGAAATAAATCGGTCAGAATGCAGTACCCATGCCCTGTTCTCCTGAAATAACATATAAATTAGGAGGTGTTAGCTTCTGCATCTAGTAGATGGGCTTGTACTATTCACTGCAACATACTTTACAGCAGGTTGGTTAAAGGCTAGGAAATTAGCCTGCAAAAAGGTTTTTTTTTTAGTGATACAACCATTAACTTTGCAGCCACCAGCAAAACTAACATACTTGGAGCCATATTTGGCTGCCTCTATATCCTACCACATTATGCAGAGTTGGTAAGTTCATTGTATCCCTTCTGTATGTGCATTAAGATCTTCAGAAAGATCCTGTAGAGCCTCATTTCTGGACCACACTTAATGTAGCATCCTACCATTGCAAGACAATATTTGTTATGGTTAGATTTTTAAGAACAGATGTCTGAGTATTTTCTCTAGTGCTGAGACAATGTTTTGTGCCCAAAGAGAGAGAATGCTGCTCAAAATACAGAATGAAAATTAGGGTTCCTGCTACAAGAAGCTTGCAGTATAAATACACGCTTCAGGGGGGGTTGCTTTTTCTACTGCCTGACTCACTTCAGCATTGTCAGGCTCTTTCAGGGCTGAACTCACTGCAGACCAGGTACTGAGCAATAGAAGTTTTCCACAACAATCCTTCTGTTGTCATTTACTAGGTTACTTTTTACAGTATATGAAGAGGGAGAGTGCTGACCTTTCTCAGGGCACATCAAAAACATGAGAAGCTGTCTGCTATATCAAAGAGAAAAAGATGTACCTCGTCAGTTCTTGAACACTGAACTTCCAGGGTGTATCTGGTTCTTGGAATATAACTTCATATCTATTTTCACGTGCCTGAAGAAAGACACAGAGGTTTTAGATGTATGAGAGTAGCCAGTCCACCAAACTCCCTGAGATTTTATCTGGCTAAGAGATGTATCATATGTACCAGGAGCCAGAAAGAGGAAGATAACCATGACTCTCATCAAGGTGCTAGTCTAAGTCACAGCTAGTTCATTTCCTTCTACATCAAGGGATTTGGGCCTCTCAGCAAAACTTGCCTCAGCACTGGCCCCCATCCCTGTCCCCCACAGCAATGCCTTCCTGGCACTTGAACTCTCTGGAAGTCACAGAGGGCTCAAGAGCCATAAGTTGGCCACGCCAATCTGGAGCTCCTGGGAGTGTGAGGTCAACATCTATCACTCATGCTATTTCCAGCCACTAAGTCTACAAGCCTCAATTGTTTTCAAGGTAAAGCAACATTATTTGTATATGTACATGTATATGTATGTATATTTAAAACAGCTATTGATTGCTTTGGGCTTTGATTTGGGGAAAAGGGGGCAGGGGAATCTGCTGGCATTTTTTACATCTTGTAATTTTACATCTTGTAATTTTTTACATCAGCTTCCTAGTCACCCACAAGCGTTCACAACTTCTGCTACTGGAGTGGCATATCCAGACTCTCTAGTACCATTATTAATTCATGCCTCTTCTGTGCTCCCATATAAGCAATACTTAGGCCCAAATTTCTTAACTGACAAGACCATAACCCAAGAACAGAAGCATGAGTATAACGTTAGCAGACAGGCCACATTATGAAACTGTAGTAAAAATATTGCCATCTCTGACAGAACTCCTCATAATAGCTGCAAATGCTTCTGCAATGACTCGTTATGCTGTATTTTTCACAAGTTATAAACTAAAGTTGTAAGTGATATCTTGATATATTTGTCAACAAATAGTTTGAGAACTGTTCAATTAATGTCACTGCTGGGGAAGGGGATGACAACCTGATCATCAAGAAGTTACAGGGCAAGTTCAAAGACAATCTTTTTAAGCAATTTTGCCTTCACTGAGGTATATAGCTGCCTAGATAAAACAACTACACTGGCACCTCTTCCCCTACTTCATCACAGTATCAGTCCTTAACTATAACTACAGAACTGAGGGCAAATGGAAGTCATTATTTTTATCCATGTTACCAACTGCTTTGGTCAGATCACCTCTTAAATGTCATAGCTGAGCATATAAAAGCAATAAATCAGAGCTTTCACCTACCATCATCACATACGGCTTCATTTCCCAAGCATGGATGTTGGTATTGTCAATAATAACCGGGCTTTTCCCATTCTTCATTGCTTTGCGTGCTGTAATGTAACACATTAAGTAAAGCTAACACGTATTAAATAATAGTCTGAGCCAGGTCTTACCAGCCCCAGAGCGTCCTCTCTCTGCCCACTGCTAGCACACTTGGGCCCCCACCAGACACAGGTTTGTAGCTACCACCCAAGGGTGAGCAGAGGTCAGTGCCCAGCAGGTGCTCTCCTGGAGGAGCTGATGCAGCCGCAGCCTGAGCTCAGTAGTAAGATCTGAACTTCTCGTAGATCATACTTAGCGGTATCACAGCACTGGGCATTTACAACAGTTAAAAGTGATTGCTGTTTGCAAAAGATCCCTGTTATATGATCTCAAAGTGTTTTCTCTTGCTAGAAATTATCTCAAGAGCACAGCCACAAAAGCATGGTACATTTTTTCTCTCTGAAGTAGAGACCTGGGTTGTTTCTATTCTCAAACTTGTAATTGGGTTTGCAGGTTTTCCTCCTGGCTGTCACTAACTCCCCCCGGTAACACCCCCTCCCAAGTCAGGACAGGCATCTAAGAAGTTGCAGTGGGAAGGATGCGGTGCATGGAGCTGTAGCCAGCAGCTGCAGGGCTGGTAGCTGCATGCCACCTGCTGTTACCCAACTTCAGCAGTGCTACCTAATCGTTGCTGGTTTACTCTGTAACATAAAACCTATCAAGCATCAACATCTTTTCATTTATAAATTCCTCTCTTGGAAAAAATAAAATCAGGAGCAATAACTGTATATTTTTTTTAACTAGTACCCCACGAACTGCAGTGTATGACATCACCTTGAGACAATTTATTTTGGGAGCTAAGTTAAAAGACAGATTGAAAAGCAAAACTATTCTGCAAAACCCCTGGATCGAGTGCAGTCACCTCTCTTTTGGTTCCACTTGTGTGCATCCTCCAGGAAGTCAGGCTCAAACAGATAGACACCATTTTCAGTAAAGAAGTCATCGGTACTAAGAACAACAGCACTGGGATAGTCACGTTTCAGCTTCCTGGGGGGAAAAAAAAAATGAAAGAAGGATTAGTGTATGCTAACGCATGCCTTTACCAGAGACCATTAAATCAAGAGCCATATTAACGCTCTCCAGTTATGCACAGTGCTTCATTTGAAAAATCCCAGCTGAAAGGATGTGAAAGTAATGTGAGCCGTAGATGGACACATAGGAGGAAAGGAACGGAGCTTAAAGGCATGGCCTTGATTTCTTTAATTCAGCAGAGAAGTCTACACTGGACTATCAACATACAAGTCTTTAATCATATTAATATATTCAGTTTTCTTTCTGAGTTACCTGAGAAGGTATGGCTGTGCATACAAAAAGAAAACCCCCAAACCTGCTAATCCCAGACTCAAAAAACAATTTGACCATGGGAGTTTTGCTACAGAGATTTTTGAAGATAGCCAGGAGGAATGATTTGTCATTTAGCAAAGATTACCATCAGTTTGTCTTATTCTTTTTTTCTTCTTTTTTTTTTTTTTTTTTTGGGGGGGGGGGGGTCTACAAAGCACATATAGCACTTTTTTTTTTTTAATTTGCAAACAAATATCTGAGTGATTAGTCCATATTTTATTATTCTTTCTGTTTTTCACTTGTCCTGGTTTTACTTCACCCTCCTCTTGTAGATTTGAGTAATTTTTATTTCTTTTCAGCCTTTAAATATGTTTTATAAACAAGTTCGAATTGCCTAGATTGGGAGCCCAAAATGCAACAGATCCATAAACCAGTCCCCTGCGGTCAATGGCCCATGGCAATCCACCTTCCCTTCACACTGACTGTCCCACAGCAACACTCATGCAGAGCCAGGATGCCCGTGGAGGGTGGACGTGTGTCCTGCCGTAAGCTGACCCGCTGCCTCACCAACACTGACTGGCTGGAGGAGGTGGAAGTGCTGGCTTATGTGGTGGCTTGAATATGAAGCATTCCTCTGCCAGTCCTTAGAGAGCATAAAAAATATAATCCTAATGCAAAATTGTGTTGCCATTTGTGTGTAACCCAGACTTACTTGTGTCCATGGACAGAGTTGTCTGTTTTTTTCAATCAAGGGAGTATTTGGGGGTTGGAGGGGGAGTCTCTGCAAGGAGTCAGGGAGAGCCCATGGCATCATCTCACTGCTCTCTGTCTCCCTAAGGCCCAAAACATCACTAGGAAAGAAAGTAAGGCCAATCCAGAAACCCTGTGGCTCTCAGACATGAATGCTGCTGCTCTGCTATCTCACACCACACATGGTCTCCAGTCCCTGGGACTCATTTCAGCTTCCCTGATAAAACGATTCTCTCCACTCCCATAAGCTGCAAAATAACTATTTCTCAATGTCTTATCTAATTGAGCAACAGCAAGAGAAAAGGTGCCTCGAGGTTATCTGCAAAAAAACAGACACACAGATAGAAAACAATTCTGCCCTCTCTAGCTCTGCCCTAACCATTTACTTACCAATTTGATCCGCATCTGCCTGCCAGCAGCAATTCTTCATTAGGATGGCACGTTACATTTAGCTGAAAAAAGGTCAGTTTCTGATTTTGTTCTGCCTCCACTGTAACTTCTATCATCTGCTGATTAATTAATATTATTCTGTGGTAGGAACCGCCCTGGCGAGCAGAGACTGACTGCTGAGAGGCTGGCCAGGGCTGTCTTCCCAGTGCTGGGCTGAAGCCAATAAATTACCTATCATGTCATTATCTTCCAGCTCCAAAGAGATGTTTTATTCAGATAATTACTGCTGGGCAAACAGAGCTAAGAGAAGTCATGTTGCAAACTGTCAGCAAACAGGCAAATTATTTTTGCTTTAATTTTGGGCAAAGAACTCTTCTAATGAAAAGCATGGGAGCACCTACTGCTTATCTGGTTACTCTTGTGCTGATAAACTGGTATATTCAGCTCTCACTGTAACTCAGCACCTCACCTTTCCCACTGCCTTACCCATCTACATCACAATCTCTTCTCTAAAACTCTGACTCTGCTAAAATATGTTACCCATTTAACTACTAATATGCACATAAATTGTACATAATAATAATAAAAGATCTCAAAATCATTTTTTCTTGCTCAATGTTTCATTTAAAAATGTTACCAATCGATGCAAATTTTAAGAATTGTTTTATTAGCATATACCTTACCATATTTTTAACACATATGTGCAGACTCGCATGAGAGCTTTGGCATTAACCCTTTAAGCAATCTAAATGGTATGTGATTATCTGTAAACTCTGTCTACTATCTGCATATTACTTGTAATTCAATAAAATTTGTGCTTCAAAGGAGGAAATATACGGCACAAAAATGTGCTAAGAACACTGAAGTACTGTCACACTTGCCATATTCATACCAAACAAACTCCAACTAACAGCAACATAAGAAAACATTAAGTGGGAAAAATAAGATGTTTTACCTTCTGCTTATCATCTTTTTAACTTTTAGCATTCTAAAACAACCAAGCAGACACTAAAGTTTACGACCATTTTCTGTAATCCCCTGTTGCCCATGAAGCTGACAAAAATCCTGTGTCTTCTGTCCCTTATAATTTCAAAGGGCATCCAAACCTCTTTAGTATGTTCTTTGAGAAATCAGCCTTCTACGATCTACACAGGAGCACAAGTTGGTTTAGAAGAAAGGTTTTACATAATCACATCAGGGTCCTAATCACTGTACACAATAAAATGCCTGTATTTTAGCAAAATATGCACCAGCTATGCAAAATGGGAGGACCTGTGATCAGTGTTACTAATTAATGAATTTTGAGCAGCGCTGTAAAAAGAAAATTACCCACTGCTGTTAGATGAGTAAGTGTCAAGCATTTTAAGGAGGAAAAGGGAAAGGAAATATCTTTACAAGATCAAAGGGTGCACACGAGCTACATTGGCATTTTTTAAAAAGCCACTGAACTTGAAGCACTGCATTGTGATAAGCAGTATCTGTCACAGGTTCCGTATTAATTTGCCTACCTGGGACATTTAATTGCACAGATTTAAAGCTCTTTATCTTGCAGTGGAGACAAAATATGGTACGCTCTGTATCTTGATTAAAAAAAAAGTTTGCTGCCATTTCAGAAAACAGGAAAGGTAAGAAAATTAGAAGAGAAAGGGGGATGTTTCCTCTGCTTGCAATAAATCTCCCCAAACCCTTTTTTCCCCCTCTTCTCCGAGGCAAAGCAGATTTCCACCCTAGATACCATATGTCATTAGACTGGCTGATACAGCTGGGGAATAAAAGCTTTTGGATGTTTCTACTCTTCTTCAGATCTGACATAACAACAGCAAACTTCTCATGTGCCCTGGCAGGGCCTGGGCGCTGATAAAGCCCCCAGAAACACCAGGCTGGGCCGAGGACAAGCGTCGCTCTCTGCCCACACCAATCCCACTGGCAGCCAGGGTAACAAGGACGCTTCTGAAAGACCCAAGGTGTCTTGGGTAGTGCTGGAGTGCAGTCATCTGCTGCCTCACCTGATAAGGCTTAGGATGGCTGCTTTGATTAAAAAAGGAGAGTCTTTCTGTTGGAAATACAGCTGCATTTCTGTTTGACCACAGCAGCATCCTAACAGCTGCCTCAGTGAACAGACAGGTGGTTTTAGAGTCTTCCACGTTATTCATCTGAAGATCTGTTCCCATGATTTATACAGTTTTTGAAGTCCACTTCTTTTCTGAAGAGCACTTTCAGTGCTTTCAATCATTTCAGATTTTAACAGTATATATAGACATCAAAATAATTATTTGGGATTTCAACTAGCTGGATACATTAGAGTACTTGGGAGAAGTCTCCATGATCACTAGTAATATCATTGGCAATAAAAAAAAAATCATAATTGTATTTCATAGGCTGTCATGTTCTCCCTTCAGAAAATCTGAAAACAAATGAATTTCTGATGCTGATCTCAGTAAGCAGACTGGAAGGACCGTTCTCAGCGCTCCGAAGCTAACAGAACTGTATGTCAGGCAGATTGCAGAGCTGCTAAATTCTCAAGCTACTTCCAAAGCAATGGAGATCAGAACACGTATGTACTGACACCACATGCAACCGCTCACTCTGGTTGCTCTTCCTAACACAGAGCATTCCCGTGGCATTTAAAAGCCTCTAGTTTCAGCAGAAAATCAGAACTAGGAGAACATGAACAGAACTACAAGCACAAGTTCAGTACTATCAGTTGCCTGCTGTGTTTTAACAACTTCTAGTGCCCCGAGGACTTTGCCCCTGCCAGCCGATCGCTGTGCAGTTGGCAGAGCACGAAGAACATGCCTTTGTGTCTCACCCGCTGGGGTCAGAGCAGCGGCTGTATTTTGTAACGACTCAGGCTGCGAGTCGTACTCGATAAACACATTCAGGAGAATCACCTGAAGCAGTTTTATACAAAGGTAAATGTTTACAATGTGTTGCCACCTGGAAGCAGGAGCTGCAGAGAGCTAAAGTCCATGAAGCCTGTCAGAGCTGCAGTGGGGTCAGGGTGCTGGTAACAGCGGCAGGGCTGGGCCAGGGCTGGAGGTGCTGGGAGGAACTGGGCAAGAGCAGCAGAGAGAGCTGGAGCAGGTGCAGACTGGGCTAACCAGCAATGTCTCAGTGCCAGCGCATTTTCTTCCTTTCCATCCCAGAAGATTGCTTTCCCTGTGCTTCATAAGGGCACACAAGAATGAACTCATTCCAAGTGATAAATCCACAGCAGTGGCTGCAAACTTACATGTGTGATCATGCCCAGCCCAGCGCTTGAGCAAAACTGCTAGATAGAGGGTTACGTGTTACACGAGTTGTGCATCACTGCAGTATATTGTAGAAGAGCTGGAAATACAGCTACCGTGCAACAGTCTGTTGGGGAAGCAGGGATGAGCTTGTAGGCAGCTCACTTGGTTTTTTGAGACATTTTTGGAAGTTATACCTGCTCCTGCACCTCAGATAACCGTTTTCTTAGCAGTTGGCCCAGGTCCGATTACAAAATCTGTACAGTGAAGTCAAGAGGAATGCATTCAGGAGGAGGGTGTTACACACACACACCTGATGGAGACTATTGGAGATGCAACTCCCAGCTATCCCTCTTCTCCTACGTGCTTTTGCTGGTGGTAAATGGTTGGAGGGAGATGGTTAGGGTCACCTAAAATATGTGGTTCAGGGAAGTATATTCTCAACAGTGAAGGGATTGGCCAGGCCTGGAGCTTGGTAGTGAGCAGACCAACTCCTCGTTCTGCCTTGACTACACAGTGCATCACAGGTGGATCCTTCACTGAAACCAAAAACTAGACCTGAACCAATCCATACCAATATTGCGCTGCTCTGAGATGGGGGAGCAACTGCAATGGGGAAATCATTTTAACATAGATGCCATAACTAAATCTTACAAAGCTGTGTCCAAACTGTGCTGGGTGACACTGAAAGGTCAGGGAAATGAGTCATGGATCCAAGGTTGTTCCTGGGATTGTGTGATGAGCTGAAAAGGGGCCTTTCTGCTGGAGTTATCAGCAAGTTGCCATGTCCCAGTGACACGGGACATTCACGGTTCATGACACTGCTGAACACCAAAAAGATGTGCAAGTTGTAAGAGAAATACTGGCTGATAAGAAGAATGAATGAATGGAGATGAGTGTGAAAGCACCAGAAGAAACAACAAAGCAAAGGCTAAAACAAGGGCACACACTGACAAGCAAGAACATCATTAACAGCAATAAAACTGGGAAAGATGCTGTTTGCACACCCCCCCAAAGGCCAGCACCCAGCACAATGACTTGCTACTGGAAGACCCACGCTCTGAGAGCAGGGGGACATCCAGCCAGGTCACACCAGCCCACACACCTTTCTTCTTCCTCTCCTTCTAACAGGGAGGGGAGGCTGCAGCTGAAAAGACACCCAAATGGGAAAATTAAAATAGCATGCAAAAAACCTTGGCTAAGATTCACAGAACACTAAGGAAGCAAAATTCAGAGGCAAAAAGATGGCAGCATAGAAACTGCTGGCTGTGAGATGGCATAGCAGACCTGACCAAAACCCACTGTCACCACCAGTCAAGAGGAACCCAGAACAGAAAGTAAGAATGGGAGAGCTAAAGGTCCCTGTCCTCTCTGATTGTGGGCAGACCACCTGTGCACACACTTCTCGGTGCTTGCTAGTGTTTGGCTGGCATAGTGTGGGTGAATAGAATCTGAGAGGATGAATTTGAATGGGTAAAAGGAGCTAACCAAGGGATTTTGCAACTAAATATCTTCCTCCTGCAGTAGGATCTTGCACTGAGCTTTGCTGCACTAATTTTCTGCAAACACAGCTCTGCTAAGGAGCACACTGCGTTTACAAACACCAAAAGGTACACAATGTGGAAAAAGCAAATCTCTGATTTTTTTTGGCATAATCCTTTCATAGTCTGGACAGAGTTAATGGAGAAATACTAAATGCTATTTTTATAGCTGCCCTTTGATCTGTGTCCTGCTAAACAGCCAAATGCAAGGCTACAATTAACAGAGGCTAAAATCAGAACGAGTTACTCAAACATTCATCTCACAGGAGACTAAAACAATACTTACAACTGATTCTGTAAATCTATGGTTAATAATTAATCTTGTGTTTTGATCTTAAAAAGAAA